CATTTGAGTGAAGAAATGAAATTCCAAATGTGAAATTTACTTAATCTTTCATACATAGCAAATGAAATATGTGGTATGTGAATGCAGGTTAATGCCACAAACGCCCACACACTTATCCACATTGACATGTAAAAATTTCAACTAAAAACGTATTATCTGAAAATTTGAAATTCCACTTTTTCTTTCTAATGATAACTTAAGAAACCAAAAGCCTTTCTATAATTATTTTGTGTAGTTATGTTGCTACAAAATTTGTATTTGCATTGTTTTCTGGATCTTTAAATACAGATTTAATATATTTGGTGTATTTGTTTACATTAGATCCTGGGTGAATTAATTTATTGAAGCTGGTTATTTTAAGTAGCATTTTTACATAACAGTTCTAGATGATGAAAATTGATTTAAATTTTCTCTTTCAATCTATTTTTTCCCTAAAATTTAGAAAGTGTTGAAATATATACCAGTTGTTTATTGTGAGAAACATCCAGAAATTAAAGTCCATAGAACTGTTATTATATATGAAAAATACATACAGAAATAGTCGAAAAGAACAAAATCAGATATATTTTATGATATTAATAACATTAAAGACACTGAGTTTGATGGATGCTCAACTTTTGGGATATATTACAAGTTGAATGACTTCAAACAATAAAGATTTAGAATAATATATTCTGTTATTAGTAACATAGTATTTATATGTCAAATACATACCTTGTGTTAAATCAGATAAGGTATATATGGCAGACAAAGGAAGGGTCTTACCCTCACAGGAAACATGTTGCAAACTAGCAACATTATTAGTCTCAGGAGATGGTGGTAATCCTTTGATCTTGGAGGAACATAGTGGCCTATTAACAGGGACAAATAGTAGAGTGTATATGATCAGGAGGTCTTGACAGATAAGCAGCAGGTTTCTTTGTGTGGCAGCACTGCTCACGGTAGGTTTTCTAAACTGAACTGAAACTAGTTGGAAATCAAACAATCACCATTTCACTAGAAAGAGTTTTGCTGTTTATGAACTGAGATTAACATAAACTTATGCCAAATTTGTCTTCAGCAAGAGTTGTCTCTGTATGATCTGAAAGTCTTCCCATAGTAACAAGTACAAAGCTGATTAACAAGACAGTTTAAACCTGATTATCAAACAGTGTGAAAAATATCTTCAGAATTTCCAATTGTTGTGACTAATTATTTTTATTCTATATATGCCAGCAACAGCTTCTTTCATTGTTGTAATTTAAAAAGTACTTCTCCTTATGATTAGAATAAAATATATATCTTTTGAATCTTTGGGATTAATGTATTACACATAGTTTGTATGTCCCTTGAATACATTTTTTTTTAATAGGCAGAGGTATATCACACTGAAAATGTTTAAAATGTTTTGCAGATTTGTGAAGCTGGGAATCATTTCATTAATGTAATGTTGTCTCATCCCAATCACACAGGTTAGTTCTATTTTCTTTTTCTTTTCTTTAGAGTGAATTGTGTTAATAATTATTTTTATAATCTTACTTCAAAAAATCTTTAAAAATCAAAATTCAATAGTTAGAAATATGTATGCCACATTTTTCCCTTTTATGTCTAATTTTTCCAAATATTTGAACAGAATCATATTCTCTAATAATTATTTTTCTAAAATGAAGTGTGCATGCACACCATCACCCTCCTCACATACACTAAACAACATCACTTAAATATGTAAATAAATGAACTAATGAATAAGAACAAAAGCAGTATAAAATCACTTGATGAATATCCAAATTACTAAACTCTCACTATTCCTCTCATTTGTACAATATTTAAGGTAGTCTCACTATTTCAAATGACTTTTAATTTTTTTTTTTTTAATAATGGTAATCTTTCATTGAAAAACACAATGGCACTGAAATACCAATGCCTGGGAGAACATTTCAAAGTTAGTAGTATATTTAGTTTGGTGTAAAAGTAACTGTGGTTTTGGACCATGAATTTTAAATCATTGTAACTAGTCTCATACACATCTTTATTAATCAAAATAGGAACCATTATAATCAACACATTTTTGCCAATGAGAAACAGTTTATTCCTGTAGTATGAAAATCCATACTTTAGGAATCAATAAACTCTTGAAAAGCATTTTCTGCCCCCTGCTGATCGTGGAAGCATTTTCCGTACAAAACATTTTCCAGATGCTTGAAGAAATGGTAGTCAGTTAGTGAGAGGTCAGGCGAATATGGTGGATGAGGTAAAACTTTGTAACCCAATTCATTCAACTCTTGAAGTATTAGTTGTGCGATGTGCAGTCAGACACTGTCATGGAGAAGAATTGGGTCCTTTCTGTTGACCAGTGTTGGCTGCAGACATTGAATTTTTCAATGCATATCATTGATTTACTGAACATATTTCTCAATTATACTGGTTTTGCTAGGATTCAGAAAGCTGTGGTGGATCAGACTGGCAGCAGAACACCAAACAGTGACCATGGCCTTTTTTTGAGTGGGCAAATTTGGCTTTGGGAAGTGCTTTGGAGCTTCTTCTCAGTCCAAGCACTGAGCTGGTCATCACCAGTTGTATAAAATCCACGTTTTGTTGCACGTCAAATTCCAATCAAGAAATGGTTTATTGTTCTTACATAGAATAAGGAAACACAACACTTCCAAATGATTTTTTTTTTTAATATTTTTGATCAGCTTATGAGGAACTGACATATTAAGCTTTCTCACCTTTCCAATTTGCTTCAAACGCCAAAGGACTGTAGAATGGTCAATACTGAGTTCTTTGGCAACTTCTCCTGTAGTTGCAAGAGGATCAGCTTTGGTGATTCATCTCAATTGGCCAACGTCAACTTCTGAGGGCCAGTCACTGTGTTCCTCATCTTCAAGGCTCTCACCAAACTTCTTGAAACACCACTGCATTGTGTGTTCATTGGCAGTTCCTGGGAGAAATGTCTTGTTGATGTTGTGAGTTGTCTCCACTGCTTCATGACCCATTTTGTATTTTTTTTTTTTTAAAGGAGTCGCTCTCTTATAGCCCAGGCTGGAGTGCAATGGTATGATCTTGTCTCACTGCAAGTTCTGCCTTCCCGGGTTCAAGCGATTTTGCTGCCTCAGTCTCCTGAGCAGCTGGGATTACAGGCGCATACCATCATGCCTGGCTAATTTTGTATTTTTAGTAGAGACAGAGTTTCACCATGTTGGCCAGGTTGGTCTCAAACTCCTGACCTCAGGTGATCTGCCTGCCTTGGCCTCCCAAAGTGCTGGGATTACAGACGTGAGCCACCGTGCCTGGCCCATGGCCCTTTTGAACTCAATTAAGAAAATTGTTCGAATTTGCTTTTTGTCTAACATCATTTCCGTAGACTAAAATAAACAAAAAATACCAGCAAGTGATAACTCATTAGCAAAAAACATAAAGTGAGAAATGCCAATTAAAATGTTGTATAACATAATCACATTTATTTAATAATGTATTCCAGTATAAAACAGCAAATTCCAACAATGCAAAAACTCAATTGCTTTTATACTCACCTATATATTTGAAAAAGTTTACAGTGTCTCCATTATTTAAAGATATTTTTGGTAAATCAGTCATCTCATTTAGGCTCAATTATATGTAGGGATTCCCAACTGCTTACCCTATATAATATATAATTTAATTGTAAAATCAAATAGAAATGAGAAACATTTGTTTATCATTTGGACTACTTGTTATTAATAATTCAACTGAAAACATAAAGGCATATTTGACTCTTCAATTATGTTTCAACATCAACCTGAATTTCTTAACATTTTCTTGCCTTCCACACTTCTGGCAGGCTAGTGAAACATATAAAACATTTTTTCAGAATAATTGTTACATAAAATAAAATACATATAATTACAAAGGAAAATTATTATATTGAAACAATTGTGAATATATGAAAAAACTAGAATATAAGCATATGTTTGTTATTACAACATTATACAACATTGTGATGAGTACTCAACTTTTTGAGTATTGGTTATAAATTACATATATGCATATTTAAAAAGAAGTGTACTGTGACTTAAAAATATCTGTGCTTCATCTTGGTGAAAAAAATTACACATAAGGCCAATGCTCTTACAGTTTGTGGTCCTCATTTGCAATGGAATGAAGCCTATATTTCATTAAGAGGTTGAATGCCATTTTTATCTGATCCAAATTCATAGATACATTGAATTTTCTTTGGATGCACATGAACCACAAGTGAAAAACATCTGAGAGTCTAATTTTTTTTTAGTAGAGAAGCAAAACACAATATAATCTAATAAAATGCTAGCATTGCCAATGTTTAAATATCACAGATTTTAGTCTTAGCTAGGTGACTAGCAATGTAATCAACTCAAGCTTCTTCATTTATCTGGAATATGGTCTCATCATTTGAAAATGAAAATTTTAAGTCATCCAAGAATTTTGAAATTGTTCATGTAAGAAGGCCGCCTTCTTTTAATATTCACTCTTTATCTTGCTTTGTATATTGCTCTTGAGGAGTCAGATGCCAATCTAATTCTCTCTCTTTTGTTAAATGGTGTTTTTTATTTGCTTCAAGGCACAGGTGACTTTTTTTATTATAAAAGTCTATGAATCTTGAGGGAGTGTCTAAGGGTTGATAATTCTCAACCAATTTCCCCAGGATCACTGGGTACTCTTCTAGTAGGTTGATCCTTTATTTATTTATTTATTTATTTTTTTATTTTATTTTAAAGTTCTAAAACATTTCCTCAAATTACAATTTTAAAATTAGTTTTATTACATTGTGGAGTGTGAGGGGGGTTACACTATACCTATGTTCCTTCTTTTGTCTCTAGCTTCTCCATCACTTTCTCTTTAACTATCTTTGTCCCTTTTTTGGCTATTCTTTTCATCTGCTTAATATCCTCTGTTCTATTGAATGTTACATCCTTAAGCAAATGAAAATGTATTTCATATTACTAGTAAAGTTTCTTCTTTGTCCACAATTTCTTGAGTACAGTCAACTCTTATTTTGTATTATATTTTCTTGTTTTTTTTTTTTCCATATCAATTTTCAGTTTTGGGATTTCTTAATGGTTACATTCTTTGGTAATTGTGTGTGTGTTCTGTAAATTTTGTTTTGTTTTCCATGTGGTGGGTTAGTTTTTGTCTGCAAACAAAAACACTTTCTAGTTTATTCACACAGAAGTATCATGTAAATGCTAATGGATTTACATTAATTATTAAATGTGTGAATTGACCTTGAAGAAAAATAACATAGTTTTTTACAGATGAGGTTACTGAAATCTCTTTAAAAAAAAAGTGCGTTCTGGAAACAGGAGGTTTTTCATTGTGTCTTCTCATCCTCTAACATCGTTGTTTTCTAAATTCCTTGAATCTCAGAACATGTTTCCTTCCTTCCCTTCCCTTCTAAGCTTCCACATGATGCCTTCCCTCTCTGAGCAAACTTCTCTGGGCATCATTTTCTTTCTTAAAAACAATGTCCTCCAAGATGACAACCTCTGGCCTCAACTATTTTCAGATAATTGTATTCAATTTCTCCCTATCCAGGGTTCTGATCTACCAGGTCCCAAATCTTTTCTCAAATTGAACTCTCATCTTCTGATTATGAATTATTAATAGCTACATACTCAATGCATTATTTTTCCTTACATAAAATCTTTATCAGTTCCTGTGTCAGCTCTAAACTGGTGTCTCCTACTCTCGAATTTTTATTCCCTCACTTATATATTACTTGAAGTTTGTTGTAATATCTATTAGATGTGCTTTAGGCATGGTTTATGTCTGGAAGGGAACCATTTAATATTGATTGTACAAAGTGTCATGAGTCATATTCTCAGGTAGCAGAAATTGGTATAAAAGAAGGTTATTAGGAATTATGGAAAAGAAGCAAGGAATGAGAACTATGCCAAAGAGGAAGTTGAGTTGTGATGTAGTCACAAGAATGGTCTTAGTCAACTCTATTGGGTATCTGAAGCTAGAATAACCCTGTAGAGGTGTCAAGAGTTGGAATGGCTGGAGACAGATAAGTTGGATGTGTGTCTACCTGGAGAAGAAAAAGACCTTGTAAGGCAGTTCCCTTTAGTCGAGGACATTTTCTCGGAGGATATGACAGAAGAAAGCTTCAGCAAATGTAGATACTGTGCAAACTACAAAGTATATATATATTCCAATTATTATTTATTTATGATCTGGATAAATTACCACCTTTGTGAACCCACTTTGTCTAACAGTACTTAAAATGTAAAAATGACACTTTTTTTCTGGTATATGGTTCCCTGAATCAATAAAGTTCTTTTAGCAAAGATCACTGAAATCATTATGATGTGCATTTGTTTTGGTGTTACAATACCTTTCCTCCCAGACTATTCTTCCATCAGTGAGTTTGGAGTCTTAGAACTGATTCACATTCCAATACTGGGAAAGGAATAGTAGATCTGACATAGCACCAGCTGTCTCAAATCTCTTAACT